ATATATATATATATATATATATATATATATATATATATATATATATATATATATATATATATATATATATATATATATATATAAATTGGATTTATTATGTACCATATGTACCACAACCCTACAAATAATTTAACTATCGATTTGTAATGATTATGCAGTAATTACATTTACGACTGTTACATCGACCGTCAATAATTTTAAATAAACAACAAAAAGAGTTTTTTAGTTTATCATTAAAATGGCACCAGATTCAATTATAAATAAATACATACATATACACACATTGACAAAATGTGACCTTATACATATTTTATAACATTAATCATCATCGTACATTGAGCATTGATTCACATAAAAATCGTTTTTGTTTGAGCAGTTTTTCGAGATATTTCGACAGGTGTGCCGCATATACCCGCGTGGCATCAACGTCGGTATCTAGCGGGTCAGAATAATAACGTCGAATCCATGGTATATTGCGATTGTATGTGCAGTCAAATCTTTTGCCGATCACAATGATTTTTTTAGCATGTTGATATTCCCAATACTAGACACTGGAATTCATATGCAGAAAGATATCAAAATTATTTTCAAACTAGTGTGAGCGTTGTGAATAAAAATAGTAATTAAAGAATTATAATAAGAACAATAAAACGACCGATTCAAACAACACATATTATAAATATTAGTATTACTAGTGAACATTCAGCAATATAAAAAAATGTGTTGATTACAATTGATAAAGTTTTGAAAACAGCGTGTTCTTACAGAGGAGTCAGTCAGCAAGATGACTTGCAAGTTTGCAAAACACGTTTTGCCCAATCTGGACTTGACGGTGCCGTCCCATCGACATGCACACAGTTACGATCATTCAATTATCAAACTCGGCGAGGTTAAAGCGCACATTTCAAAATGCTACGAATTCGTTAAAATGCAGAAACAAACTTTTTTGAATCACATACAATATATATACTCAAGCATTAAAGGACAGTTAATTAACATCATGTCGATGTTCCCCAAAATAGTGAATCCCACACAACACGCTATCACTCAAACAGCACCGTCAAGGAAAAGCCAAGTGTTTAGCAAAGTTGCAAACAATCTTGATAACTGAATTTCCGAATAATTCTCGGAACCGCTGTTATATTCTGCGCACGGATCTTTGAAATGTACTACGATTGTGAACCGATCTTATTCTAATATTTTTCCACATTTAGTTCCAGAATATGAAATCGAAAATTGACCAGATAGTGTATGGATGTGCTCTATAGCAATATAATTATAATTCGTTTAACTGATTTATTACAAAACACTAAAATACTAAAAATAAAGAAAAACAAAAAGGTGATTATGAATAAAGTTTAGTACTATATAAAATAACAGTTTTGATATCGCTTACAGATAATATAGATATTGTTGCAACATGATATACATAAGGTACTTATGTGTTTGTACGTTAGTGTTCGTACTGCGTGTTCGTTACCAATGTGCATATTTCAGTAGGTATCGCAACGTTGTCATGGTGATTCTAAAATAGATATACGTGACTCCATCCTATTCTGATAAATACGTCTCCCATTGACCTTCGATTAGTCAAGTACATTGGCGAAAGAATGATGCGTACTAATAATTAACAACTATGTAGATTTATTATTTAATTACCAGATGTTATTCATTAGTATGGCTACTGTGGCTACAGTAACCTTTCTATCGTCTGCAGTGTAAATTATAACAATTTACACGTCACTGACAGACAATTTTTGATCCCCGGAGCATCAATTACGACGAGCAGAATGCTAATCTAAAATCGTAAAGAGAATGAAAGTTCGAGTGCGTAGAGTAGATGCACTAACGACTTCTAATTTAATAGGGTCTACGGAGTTGGATCTCATCGTTAAAATCCACTTCATAGTTCTAATAAGTAAATGCGTCTAAATGTGAAACAGAAGATTAGGTCTTAAGCTTAAGTTAATATAAAGTAATAGGACGCATTGTATATTTTTATGGACTGGAAATGGGAAAGTAAAATCAAGATTGGAAAATTAGCGATATCCACACATATTTGAAGAGATGTATTACTCAACGCTGACATATTGTGTTATTTTCACAAATAACATATAATACTCTTATTATAGTCAATTTTGATTTATTCAATCTATAATACAAAACACAAGTAATTTGTTTAATTGTAAAATGTTACTAGATATACAATTAAAAAATAATCGACGAGAAATTCTACACGAGGTTGTCAATTTTGCAATGGTTATATTTTTATTTG